CCCCAAAACCCCAAAACCCCAAAACCCCGCACAAGCCGTATTAATAAGAATATAAGTTTCGAAGTTTTAGCTGAATTTTTAAATATTTAAGATAATTACAATTGTATAGAACTAAGTTTATTATACTTTTTACATGATATGTAAATCTTATAGGGCGCTCTTTGTATCATTAAGTTTACAAAGAGTACATTCTACGAAAATTATTTTTCTATGATTTAGATTTCCCCATACTATATTTATTAATGTGATCAACAGTTTTAGTAATTTTCTTCTGCCTTTCTAAATCACCTTTAGTTGGAATCGCAAGCTAGTCTTTATTGTATAATTTTTGCTTCTCATGATCATACTCGCCTGAGGTGTCTCTTCGAAAAAGATTTTATTTGGGACGTTAAATACCAAGTATGATGTCAAGTTTATTTCGTCTGACCCAATGTACGATACTTAAAGCAACCCAGCAAGCCACAAAGTCATAATATATTCTAGATAAAATAACGAATACAGTATAGCCGGTCACACAATCATAATCTTTTGAGCTCTCATGAGTATTTTTCTAATTTATTTCTTATATACCATCTGACTCGGTACTTGGGCAATAATTTAAGATGTAAAACACTATGTGAATAATCTAAAAGCAAGCTGACGAAGCCAGTTTTAGCCCGTATAGTACTTTCGAATGAATCAATTTGTAATGCCTTATGACAAGCACCTCAAAGATGATTGTAGGTATAAATAAGAGGAGTTTTAGTAAGTGTTTAATTATATATGGTGCAGTCTATGCTTAAGTAGAAGCTGAAGATATAATTCCAATGACTTCGACCAAACCAATCGTCGCATCAATAGCAATTATTAGCCAGAGACAATATTTTAGTGAGAGCGAAGCAAATATGAAATAGCGTAGAAATATGCCATGGATGCACTTGAAGTAAGGTCGTTTACTGGGAGTATTTCTCATTGAGTAGGAGGTCTCTAATGTTTCTCTGTGACTACTGGTGTTTAGTGTTATTGATTTAAAGATGGATGAATTTTTATTCGAAGTGCTTTGGTCCTCGTCTTAGTTATCAGTAGAAATAGCAGTTCCTGCATGGGTGATCGCACTTCTTCCTTTTTTTTTGCTTCTAACGAAAGATATCTCGGATAATTCAATCAATCCTGGCTTATTTGATGGATTGAACATTTTCCTCTTGGAATCAGTCACCAAATCGTCAAAGTAGGAAATATCGATGGAGCGATGTTCCTGCATTTAATAGTCGTCAAAGACAAACTAGTCACTTCTGTCGTCCTCATTTATCTTGCTTGAAGTATTGTCTAATAGATCGATATTGTTGTAAGTAAACTTATTATTTAGTAATTACTACTGGCTGGTGGTGCTGTTCATTCGTGAATGTGCACTTTAGTATTGTGTCAAATTTAATTAATGATTTGTGTTTGTTTTTTAAAATATGCTTTATTCGTATGTTTTAGGGCTTAAAATTTAACCTGGTAGTATAAACAGTTCATTGTTATATTCGTTAATTTAGTCCATATTAAGTCGCAACCCTCTAGATCCTCGGTCGCTATCTAATAGTTCTCCTTCATCTACTCTGCTCAACTCATTGTATTCTTATCCTATTTCCAACTACTCATCGTTGTCATTCATTATTATGGAAACAATTTCTTATAATATAATATAAATTCTCCGTTATCCGATATCAACACTATTCATTTCCAATGGGGTTTTGGGGTTTTGGGGTTTTGGGGTTTTGGGGTTTTGGGGTTTTG